TTCGGGCCCCAATCATCAACCGTCTCCACTTATTAGCCTGGGGGGAAAGGGGCCCTGAGGGACGCGGGTCAGGACCCTGGTGCCTCCTCCCAGGAGCTCTTCATCCTGAGTCGTTTTCTGACAGTCCCAAGGCCCGCGGAGGGCCCCGAGACCCCGAGAACGGCAACAAAATTCGGGACAGGACCCGCCTCCCCCATGGAGACATTAACCAGGCTCCTGGCTACATCCCATGCACCACGGAGGCGCGCGGAATCCGCCGCTGAGGGCGCCCGGCGCGGGAAACGCTGGCGCCCGAGGGGGCCGGGTGGACTTCACATCAAGACAACAAGGTACTGAGGAGCAGGAGAAGGGAATGAGCATCGTTCAACCGATCCCCATCCCACCAGCGTGGGCTGGGCCCTACTGGCCGATTTACCCCCCTGGATGGGGATATAGGCTGCTCTCTTCGGGATTCGAGGGGCAAATCCCCAACTGAGGTGGTGAGACGGTGGGGCTCGAGATGTGGATGGTGATGGGGATAGGGATCGGCTAAACGATACTGGGGGAGGGGGTAAGCCCGTCGAGCAAATCGAACGACCAGGCCGCCATCGGGTAAATCGAGGCAGTCGGGGATCGTCTGACTCGGGTCGATCCAGACCCGGGTCAGTCAGACCTTGCAAAATCCTGCAATACCCTGCAGGATCCTGCACCCAAGCCCGGGTCAACGCGAAGGATCCTGCAGGATCCTGCACCCAAGCCCGGGCCATTGCGACCCTGGCCCTGCAGGATCAAGATCGGGCGCTTGACCCCCGTCTCAAGGCTCCCGAGGCGGAATGTGTTCAGCGTTTCCGGCCTCTCCATTTTTTTTGGATTTACGCGCGGGTGATCGTCTGCCGAACACTCCTGCCCGTGGCGCCGAAACGACGAGCGAGGGGCCCGAAGAAGGGCCGAAAGAAACGAGGGACGGACCAGGACCCGACAGAGCCGAGCGAGGGACCGACCGACTCGCGGTGAAAGGCCGGCCCTGGGAGAGGAGTCGAGCGTCGGAGGCCGTTGAGACAGCAAGGTATTGAGGTCCACAAGCCAGGCCGAGCTGACCTCCAGAGGTGCCCAGAGCGACCGAAGGTGGCCCCAAGACGCCCCAACAGAACCCAACGACAGTCGTAAGGCGACCCCAGAAAACACGGCGCAAACGGCCAAGAGGGGCTCGATACGGGCCAAGGAGGCCTCATGATGACCCAGTAGGACCCCCTCATTCAAGGTTCCAAGAGTCCCCCGAGCCGGCCGGACGAAAGGCCGAGATGACCCCAAGACGGCTCGGGGGACCATGAAGGACCAGAAAGAGGAAGAAGAGGATGAAGAGAATGAGGGACCAGAGGACAAAGAGGAAGAGGGAGTAGGATGGAGGAAAAAGGAACGGAAGGACACCCCGGAACAACGTGCCGCTTGCTACGAGCTTAGAGAAGCCCAAGACGAGATGCTACGACCGAACTGCACTGGCAGCGTTGTGAGGCTCGCAACACAAAGTGCCGCACTGGCGCGTCGGCAGAACTTGCTGCAAACAACTGGGTATGCACTCTTTCCCAGTTGCTTACGCTCAGACTCACTGATACTCTGATCCGCTCAGACAACTTACACTCTCTTGAACTCTCTCGCTGGCCTGGCACCCACTTATGCTCACAAAGACTTCCCCATACTGATACGCCACGTGCTCGCTGACACTCGCCTTAGATCACTGGGTAAATCCTGCTTGTCTCGCGCGCACTCAAGTCCCACCAGCCCTTTGGGCGTGAGTGGTTTAGAGAGCTCTCTCTGTCCTCACCCCCCCTCCTTCCCCTTCGGGGAGGGGTTTACCCCTCCCCCTACCCCCTCCCCCTGGGCCTGGACAGGGAGTCCCGAGTGTTCTCAGGGGGGTCTTTTTCGACTCCTGGGAGGGCCAAACAACGACGACCCTCACGAGGATTCTGGCCGCCCCTCTGCCCTTCTTTGAAGCCAAAATCATTGATTTTACTACGGTTTTGGCCCCATTTTGGCCTCCTGAAGGGGGCCGCCGCGCTCCTCTTCCTTCATAGCAAAATCATTGTTTTTACGAAGGTTGTGGGCTCATTTTGTCTTTCTCAAGGGGCAGCGCTCATTTGCGCTTCTGAAGAGATCGCCAGAGGCCCCAAGATGGCCCCAGGAGGCCCCCAGGAGGCTCCCAAGAGGCCTCCAAGAGGCCCACAAGAGGCCCCCAAGAGGCCCCAAGAGGCCCCCAAGAGGCCCCCAAGAGGCCCCCAAGAGGCCCCAAGAGGCCCCAAGAGGCCCCCAAGAGGCCCCCAAGAGGCCCCCAAGAAGCCCCCAAGAGGCCCCAAGAGGCTCCAAGAGGCCCCCAAGAGGCCCCACGAGGAGCCCGAACGACTCACACCAGGACGAGGGGCCCGAACGACTCACACCACGAAGAGCCCGAACGACTCACACCACAAGGAGGGGCCCGAACGACTCACACCAGGACGAGCCGCCCGAACGACTCACACCATGAGGAGCCCGAACGACTCACACCACGACGCGGGCCTCGAACGACTCACACCACGAGGAGCCCGAACGAGTCACACCAGGAGGACGGGCAGCACTCATACAAGCCCCCCACGATGGCCCCCAGAGGTCCACCAGATGGCCCCTAGAGTTCCCCAGATGGCCCACAAGAGGTCCCCAGGAGGCACCACGAGGCCTCATGTTTCGCAAGAATTTCTGTTTTGAGATGGGCTGGTGGGGATACGCGAAGCGTGAAGAATTATAGCGAACTTGGGCGCCAAGGCATAGCGCCGAAACGAGAACGCGCCATGGTTCACCACCACGTATTCAGCAAGTGTTTGAATACCCCAAGGCTCGTTGAGATGTGCTTGAACATTGAACGACCTCGTAAAAGCCCAGACCGCCACATTGCAAGAATTGTTGGGTCATGTTTCTGCAATGCTGGTTCTGCAATGCCACATGGGCTCCTAGGAAACAAAACACACCCAAACTGCCTCCGACACCCCCAACGATCCTAGCAAGAAACGTTCATGAGGCCTCCGAGGGAGGCCCATGAGGGAGAACTCGAACTGCCATCCAGAGCCCTCCACTCCATCTGGGCCACTGGATCGAGCTGTTACCCATGTCCTCTTCGTATGTAGGCATACACGCACTCATTCGTGTTTGTCCTCTTCATCATCTGACCGGGGCAAACTAAGCCCCTTGCTCCCAAGATCGCGATGCTGCCTCCAGGGCGTGCTGAAGCCGTCAGCAGTGCGGTGATGTTGCTGCGGTGCTCCTCTGGACGGGCTACCAAAACGAAACAGGATGGAGGGAGGCCAACGCCGCATCTCGGCGGTGCGAATCGCTCGTCCGATGCAAGCCGAATGAGGGGGAATCTTGCCGCGGGGGGTCATTACTAGATCTGTGGTGTACATGGGTGCACGTACACATAAATGTTCGCTTATCGGTCTGGGCTGTTTCCCCATGGCATGGCGAGTCCTTGAACAGGTTCCAGGAGCCTCGCGTCTGGCGATTCGCCTGCCGATGCACCTTTCGCCAGGACCTTGCAGCAGAGGTCCTGGAAGCCGCAGATGCTGAGCGGTTCGGCGTGACGAGGCAGCAAAACTCAAAGGTAAAGAGCTGATCCCAGCAAGCCAAATTCCCTTGTGGTCCTGCCGAAACGTCACAACACTTCTCTGCAGTGAACCCTTCTGACCAGCAGAGCCCATGCGATCCGGAGGCGTGAGCACTCCAGCAGGCGATCGCCAGCCCGATCAAGTGGTCCAGGTACTGCTTCAGCGTCTTATCCAAAATCGGCGTGAGTGCGCCGACACGGGCAGAATAACATGGCGGGATGGCTTGGCTGGAACCAGCCAGCCAGCGGTAACCCTATGCTCGAGCAACTGATCGCGAGACGAATGGTGATTGACAAAATTCCCGCCTCTGCCAGGCAGCATGACTTTTGGGGATACTCAAACACCGATGAAACGCAATCCATATGGACACCTTGGATGGGGGGTACTCCCTCCTCGCTCCTTCCCTCCCCTTGGCTACGCGCAGGGCGACCCTGGGCCAGAGCGACCTTTGGTGCCCAGCTTTGGCTCCGCAGCGGGCTCCGCATCCAAGCTTGCGTGCCCGTGATGGGGGCACTCCGCGGGCGCGCTCCGAAAATCACCAAGGCGAAGGGCCACTCTCACGGACAGCCGGTCCTCTGGTCTCCTCTGCCTCAACCTCCGCCTCCGGTTCCGACCTCGCTCCTCCTCCTCCTCGGCCACTCCGAAGGGTGTGGTTTGCAAGGGGTGTGGTTTGCAACCCGCACCTGGGGGGGGGGGGCGAGGACCTCGACAGAGATCTCCGCCGAGCCCGACGAGGGCTCATCAAACCTTTGGCGCAACGTGGTGACCCACTGTAAGCCCCAGCGAAGCCGATCGCGAATTCCTGGCCTCCCATCGGCACTCCTCGGCCCTCCCCTCTCGGCTCCACTCGGCTTCGCTCCGCCCTCAGTCGTCCACCTGCTCCTCCTGCCCCTGGTCCTGCCGCTCTACCTTGCCATCGCTCGGACGTCCATTCCCCGTGCCCATTTCGGCCTCTTGTCTGTGAAGACGGCACAACGGTGCCCCCCACTTCGTCAGCGGCACAACGGCACGTGTTTCCGCCGGCGCAGGCGACCCCCCTGCCTGGCCGCCGACGCAAACATGTGCTTGTCAAGACGAGGGCAGGGTATACCAGTCAGTCGGCAGGCGTGAGTGAGTGAGTGACGACAGTCGCGAAGCGAGTTCGGTGGATTACGAAGCCCGAAGAGCCAACTCTGCTCGGCTGCGGACCTTGGGCCAGCGCCCTGCTAGAATACTCAAACACTGACTGACGAAGTGCCCACACAGGCAACCAAACCACAACTCGAGCCCCCCTCATGCAGACGCATGCATCGGTGGGAGCTTTCTCCTCTGGGCTGGCGCGCGGGGCCGCACAACGGGGGCTGGCAGCGCGGCCGGGGCCGCTGGACAGGGTCGGCGCGGCGCAGCCCAGGGCTACCTGGTCACCCGACCCCTCTTCTCGATCTCGTGCACTTGTCGGGTGACGAAGAAGAAGACCGCGAGGCAGGCAATGTCAGCCAGCACGATCCAGAATATCCGAGGCAAGCCCAGGAGGAAGTCCACGTCCTGCGAGGTCGAGGTGGAGTGGAGCAAGCCTGCAGGACAGAAAGGGGAGGGAAAAGAGAGAGGGGCTGGTCGGAGTTCAGACGCCATCGAAAACAGAGAGCAGATGGAAGATGAGCGACCAGAGAAGAAACACGGTTGCTGAACGGATGAAGAAAGTACTGTAGTAGTTGTGCTCCGTGCTCCTCCTCTAGACATGTACCATCATACAAAGCATGGTTTCTCCAGACAAGCCAACGCTAGCAACGTATGTCACGGACACTGATTAGAAACCCCGCTTCACTTCGCGACCCTCTGCCGGGACAGAAAAACGCATCACTTGTAGTAGCCTTTGAGCTCAAGCCTGAAAAACGCAATCGAGAAGCCCACAAGCCCCCATGCAAAATTACCAAGCAAATGCGATGTATCAAAATGAAAGGCGATCCTCCACATCTTTTGGCTCATGCAATCCTGCCAAATGTGTAAGAACCGAATGGGGTGGCGCATTCCGGGCCCTCATCTGGATGATCTCAATATCATCACTGACAGCTCAGACCCACGACGCACAGCTGCATTATTGGCAGGGGCCGCGCCAACCGAAGCAGTACGAGAAACGCGGGATTGGCAAACGCAGCTCGAGCAAACACGCTCCAGCGCAGCATGCCAGAAGAGGCGCCAGCGCCCCGGAGGCTCAGCGGCAGAGCGAACGAATCCATACACACAAAACATGAATATCACCTCCGCCTCCCTCTCCCCCTCGGCCTCGACCTGGCCCAACCTCGCGTCCACCCCCGCACCAATCTGTTCAGCATGTTCTTGGCCGCACCGATCCGACCCCCGCTCTCCCTGGCACTCCTTCCTTACGCCTGCGACTCGCATCTCACGGCGTTTCCGCTCATCTCCAACTCCGACTTACCACGCTTTGTACGGAATACGAACCTCCTGCTTCCTGTGACATGCAGCCTCGCCCTCGCCTAGGCCCGCGCCTCGCCCGTACCTGGCCCACACCTCGTCCGGCCCTGTCCTCGGTTGTTCTCACCTTTCTGCTCGTTCCCCACACTGTGCCTTCACTGAAGAATTTCCGCTGAAGTGAATTCAGGTGGCCTGTCGAACATACCAGGCTAGATCCCAGGACCTGGCCCCGACCAGCCACTCCCACGACTTGCCGCCAACGGCGTTTCCCGCCCCCGGCCCTTGCTATAGCACCCCTGAGGCCCATGAGCCAGCACTGCAACCATCGCCATCGCTCGCTGAGGCGGGAGAGGGTTACCCCTCGGTCGGAAGAACTGGGTAATTAGAATCATGAAGTAGGAAGGCGTTGAAGGCAGATTGGGTGTCCGCCCGCCCCCTGAGAACGGAAAAGGTGAAGCCACTCGATCATTGAAGTAGGACGGCGCTGAAAATAGAAAAAAACCCGTCACGGATGACAGGCGGTCCCCGTCACGGATGCCGGAACTCCTGGGGGCTGCCTCGGGGGCCTTCCAGAGCGTCTCAAGAGGCCCCCAAGGCGGCCTGAGAGGGCCCAGCGTCACCAGAAGTCGTTCCAAGATGCCCACGACAACCACTCGCTCATTGAAGTGGGAAGGCGCTCAAAAAAGGTCGGAATGTGTGCGTGTCTCCAAAGATACCTGGGTCGGGACCTCATGGTAAGCTCTGCGCGACGAGGGCCGGACACGCCCCGGGCACCAGAGCGGAGGCCCGTCCTGCGGAGGGGCACCCGAGGTCGGGAGATCGCCGCTGGGTGCACTCTCGGAGAGTGGACGCTTGCTTCCACTCGCGATCCTCTGCCCCCCTTCGCCAAGCGCGGCTTCAGCGGCGAAGTGTCTCAGATGCTCGCTTCAGGCTGCGAGGGGCAGCCGTGCTGGAGAGTGGCTGGCGGGTGATGGGACTTGCCCTGAGGCTAAGGCACGGGCAAGCTTGTGGCCAAACGACCTTGGCCCGTGACCAGCCGGCATCAAACTCACTGTCTTATCTAGACGGGCCGGATGATAGCGAACTCCGAAGACTACGGTCGCCATGCTTCGCTCGTGCTGCCCAGAAGCACGCCCATCTCCTGGGCGCTGGCTGCTCCCACTGTATCAAATATCGTCCGGAATCGGGCCGAGGGTGCCGAATAACTTTCTGAACCAAGCGCCGCGTGTCGGCACCCGCGGCAACTGAACCACGGGCGAGGGAGCAGCCTGGCACATCGAGGCTGCGCAACTACATCACAAGCCGAGGCCACGGGATGCAACTAGTGATCAAAAGCGCCTGTTGCGCACCTTCCTCCTGCTCCGACAAAGAGCAGGACAGAGATAGCCGGGCGTGGTTCACTAATGACTAACGCGCTACCAGGCAGGGGCCTTGCCAGACCACAAAGAACAAGCAAGCGCAAGGACGAGTGGAATGTAAAGGAAGACGATTGCGAGGAGGACGAGGAGGGGGCGGTGGGGGGAGGTGCCCTTTTTTGTTCAACGCGTAGCCAGATGCAATTAGCTAGAAAACATTCGAGGAAAACACAAACAACCATGACGAAGGCTACAGGGTGGCAACACGCCGCACAAGGAGCCAAATAACAGCCAATCAGTGAGCATGTAGCCATCATGGACGATGAACTTGGAAATCACTACTGCTGACTCGGAACCCAATCTTGCCTCAGAAGAGCCCAAGGCGCCAGGAGCGGGGAGGCCTCGCGGCAAAAAGTCGACCTAGCTGAACAGTACCGCGCCAATCATCAACAATTCCGAACCAGTCATTTATGTCTGTCCTGGGAAGCACTATCTTCAGCAGGGGATGTCGGAGGCAGCGGCGAGGGCCGTTTTACAACCACTAGTGCGCGTGCGCTGAGGCACCATAGCTCGCCGCCCGCGGCAGACGGCCATGTGCTACTCACGTGATCGTGGAGTACATCGGCATGATCGGTACAGGGCCGACCAGCGCGACTCCATGATCATCGCAGGCCTTGGAACAAGAAAGGGCATGGACCTCCGTGCTGACCGGCCACGGCGATCGAGGAGAGACCTGCGGGGGCGCTTCCCGGATGCGCCGCCGACCACCGCGCCGCAACATCACCAGGTGCATCACCAAATGCATCGTGAGGGCTGGCTCCGCCGGCACCTTCACAAACATCGCGCAACGCAGCAATTAAGAAACGTGATCGCATGGGTCGGCGTCCTCATCGAGATCTGCATGACTCAGCGCAACAACCCAACGGCCAGCACGCTGAGGGAGCCCAAAGAGCAAGGGCTCCCAACTTTGCGCTTCACGCTGCGCGAAGCGCGACGTGCGAATAACTTCGCGCTCTCGCGCCGCCTCCCAGGGGAGAAAAGGATGAGGAGGAATCGGAGCCGAACCGAGAAGCGCGAAGCGCGAATAACTTCGCGCCCTAGAGGGCGCCCTTGAAGAGGCTCCCAAGGCAGCGCCGAGAGACTTCCCAGACGACCGATGGGATCCCAAACCAGCACAAGTCTGGCCCCAAGGATACCCAAGAGGGTCCCACAAGAACCCACGGCTGGCCCAAGACGACCCAGGTAAACCCATAAGATCCTTTCAATCGAAGAATAGAGACGAGAGGCATCACATGTTACGGCCGTCTGGGCGGTGCTCGAAGCATCGCCACACTGAGTGCGGCCGATCCCCGCAGCTCCTCCCAGTCGCGGGGGCTTCGTGGGAGCCTCGGGTACAGTCGAGAAGTGCTACGCTATTGGCACAATCCCCCCTGGACTCCATGTGAGAGGCGGAAGCAAACATACAGCGCCACGGTTTGGCGCAAATCATTCGTTGTAGACTTCCTTGGCAGCCGTGACTGAGGGAGAATGGTGGGAAGGGTGGGGCGGGAGGGGAAGAGGGCAAGCAGAGCGAGGATCGCTGCGCCAGCAAACGGCGCCCCAGAGGAACCGCGTCATCGGCGCCCTACCCTCAGAAGCACGAAGGCCACCGCGACGACGCCAATGACCACGGCTCCGAGCGCGGGGAGCATCCCACCGCCATCTCCTCGTGCACCTCCACGACAGCAATCGCACACAAGGCACGGCGTCCGAATGTGGTGCGTGCGTGACGAGCAAGGCAGGGATCTGCGAACGGACAGATAGAGCCAGACGGACACACACACACACACACAACACACACACAACATACACACAACACGCAACGCACAACACACAACACACACAACACACAACACACACAACACACAACACACACAGCACAACACATACACAACACACACACAGCACACACACACAACACACACAACACACACAACACACAACACACGCAACACACCACACACACCACACACACACCACGCACACACCACACACCACATACACCACACACCACACACACACCACACACCACACACACACATCACACACCACACACACTCACACCACACAAACACACATACAACACACAACACACAACACACACATACACACCACACACAAACACACACACACACACACCACACACAGACCCACGCACACGACGACAGAGAGAAGCACCATTCGCGTACGAACCCTGTTCCAACCCCTGCACCCTCTCTGCTGGTCATGCTTCTATTGATGTCCCTCCTCCTCCTCCTTCTCCTCCTCCTCCCCGTCATCATCATCATCATCATCATCATCATCATCATCATCATCATCATCATCATCATCATCATCATCAGCAGCAGCAGCAGCATCAGCATCAGCATCAGCATCAGCATCAGCATCAGCATCAGCATCATCATCATCATCATCATCATCATCATCATCATCAGCAGCATTCTCATCATCACCATCACCATCATCCTCATCATCATCATCATCATGCTCATCATCCTCATCATACTCCTCCTCATTCTTATCATCATCATCCTCATCCTCATTATCCTCATCCTCGTCCGCATCCTCATCCTCATCCTCCGCCGCCAGCTTCTATACTTGTTCCTCCTCCTCCTACTCCTCTTCCTCTTCTTGCCTTTGGGATTGGGACCAAGAAACATTAGGAATAAGGCGTATTTTCAATCCAAACCGCTCTTACTTATTATCCCTAATGCAAAGACGGGGACCTAAGTGAGGCCAAGCCTTCACTATGCTATTAGGCCTAGGGGTTCTTTATCATCGATGATTTGGTGGGCGGTTTGGGGGGGTGCAGGGGGGCCAAACCCAGGCGCGCAAGCCGCTACTATCGATGCTTTCAAACATCTGGAAAACCCCAAAGTGCCCGCATCAAAGGTCACTCCAGTCAAGGGTCAC